CATAATAGTGATGCCTATACATCATGAAGGGTGTGTGTTCCAACATTTAAATGATAAAAGCAGAGGTGATGAAAACCCACGTGAATTAAAAAGATGGAGTGATAAAAATGTTTTTGACTGTCTTTCATTCATCATTCACAACACAAACATTTATCATTTCAGGAAAGGGGCCTCAAGGGTGGAAGTAACGAGAAGTGATGATAAAACGGAGGAGATGAAAATGCATGTGATTGAATATATTAAGGAGTAAAAATGTTTGTGAACAGAAAAATTAGGAAATAACAGTGCGTTAAAATAAAAGAGAGAACCCAGTGATTGAATAATCACCCTTGCGGCCCCTTTCCTGAAATTATAACTGAAAATGTTTGTGTTGTGAATGATGAATGATGAATGAAAGACAACCAAAATAATTAAATATGACTCTATTGTCTTGAAATTGCCACCATTTTGAACAAACTGACCTCAAATTAGTCAAACCACTTCATAATTTTTCACTCCACAGTAACAAAAATTACATGTTGTCAACAATGGTCTGTTAAATGTGACAAATGGTGATTATTTACTCACTGGATTTTCTCTTTTATTTTCTATTCACATGCATTGTTATAACTCCATTCTTTTAATTCACATGGGTTTTCATCACCTCTGCTTTTATCATTAAAATGTGTGTTACTTTTACTATTCATAATACACAAAAACTATGTAACAGATTGACAGACAGCTGATTCCAACATAGGACGTGAACTTGACAAATAGTCGTAATACGTCTATTGAAGACAGAGGATTAGACTCACAGCCATGGCAGTATCTGTTCACATTATTGCACCAAAACCTGGTGAGGCGAGTAAAACACATTTTTTAAAAACAAAGACGCTGACCTGCTTGTTCCTGAGAGATATTGACAGTTGGAAGAGAAGAGATCTTCTCTTTCTCTGCTGGAGGAGGCCCTGTGTTCTCCAACTGACCTAGTAACTACACAAACACAGACACACAACTCCATATTTGTAAACTGCAGAGAACAAAAATGTGAACAGGGACGTAACATTAACGTTCAGTTGGTTTTACCTGTGTTATCACGGCATCTAACCCGCCCTGTCCCCATGCGTAATCTCCTGGGTTAGAGTGTAGCATCCCCGTCCTGAGAGAGACACAGACACCACAGGTAGATAAGAAATAGCACCAACACTGAGATAGAAGCACTAACTCTGTGACACTACTGTGATGTCATCTCTTACCATGACAGGGGAGGGGAGCCAGGGACTCCAGAGTTGGCAAAGAGTCCAGCAAGAAACTGTTGTACAATCCTGAGACAGAGAGGAAATACACAACAATTAATGTCATCGCCAAAAATAAGAACACTTAAGGCTGTAAAAGCAGAAATAGTGCTGGAATTATAACACGTGGGAGTATGCAAAGCAGAAAGGAGAGCCAAGAGAATGATAAGGAAGACCTAGTCCGCTCCTACACACCCTTCAACAGCAGGCGAGCGGTCTGGTCTACTGCTGACTCTGGACCGGTATCTCCTCTGGCTGTGCAGGCGAGGGGGACGCCCTGGTCCCCAGTGTTCCCCAGCTCCTAGTAGACCCCCCATTGGCCCCCCCAGCCCTGCTGGGACCGATCCCCCGATTGGTCCCCCTCCCAAACCCCCCAGGTCACTGAGGCTCCCCAAGCGGCCTCCAGGGAGCCGAGGTTCTGAGTCGGGTGTGTCGCCGTCTGTTGTGAATGGCCGCTCCAGTAACAACAGGTGCCATAGCTACAGGGAGGATGGGACAGAGCAAAGGAGGGAACAGGTAGGGGTTTAAAAAAAAAAGTGAGACAAAAAAACAGGTTAGTGAAGTAGAAGGCAGGGAGAGAAGAAGATAGAGTAATTAAAAACTTTCAATCATTGTTCCAATGTCCCCAATTTTGGCCCTCAAATCCATTAGATCAGGTCTTACCTCTGCAAACTGTGTGGCTGTGTCATCTATCCCGTTAGCACCACCCTCCAGGAGACTGAGGACAACAGCAAAGAAGGAAACAAAAGACACACTATTAGGCCGATCACATACGTTAACTACCCTGAAAAAACTGCACTGATGTAATAGGAGATAACACTGTATTGTCTGTTTACATCCAAGTTTGTCTTCCATCACATACTACACACATCAATCATACAAATAAAGTTATTAAAAAAAGAGTCAGTCCATGTAATTGCCTTTGTTGTAAACTAAACACTAATAGGTCTTAACAGCTCATGCTGTCTGGAGACGTGAGATATATATACCTAGAATAATGTAAGCCTCTTACCTGGAGTCCTCCGTTACTTCTTCTATGAACCCTGATTCACACCTCGGACAGATGTATTCCTGGAAAGAGTCACCGCAAAATCAGACACACACAAGAGTCACACGGGTTAGAAGAAATGTTCACTATTATTTCCTAGAAACCAAGGCGATGCATTCAAATGTCTTCCTTTGTTTGGCAAACAGTTCCAAGACATTTCACATTATACAGTTCCTTGAATAAGTAAAAACCCCCTTAAATATTTTCACCCTTAAAGTGTTACAAACTGAAATTCCAAAAGACTTTATGGGATTTATAATTTTTAATTAATAAAGAATATTAATACACTTGGTTGCACTTGATCTTAGTTGAAAGTTTCAACAAAAGCACTTTAAGCTGATCACATTATTTTAAAACAACTTTTAAAAACCTTAATATTCCCCCCTCATCAGTATGGACTATTCTGTGTTTTTTTATGTGCCATTTACACACAACCCCCAAAAACTCATCTTAACATGCACATCTAGCATGACAACATACTGAAGGGTTCAAGGGGGGGTGCATCCTTATGCAGCACACCGAATGTTAAACTGGTTGATATCTGGAAAACATTCATCAATGTTCTTGCCCAGCCCTTGAGTTCAATCATAAAACTCAAAGACAAAATTATGCTGACTGCTGACCAGATGTTTTCAGTTTCTCTTTGCAAGGTAAATATCATTATTATACCATAATAATGTCATATTTGTGGCAGCGTGTGTTGTGGGTTGTATGAATGCAGCCCAGGAGGTAAAGCTGGTCTGCCAACCACACCTAATATCCGCAGTGTCTTAGAAACCACCCGACAGAATGAGGAAGACACGATAGCCAGTTTCAACAGCTGGGTCAATGTTGGCTCCTCAGTGAAAGCTAGACTTCCACAATGGAACAGGATTCAAGTGGGGTCGTTCAAGAATCACAGAGGGTTGTCAGAAATTCATGTTTTTTTTTTGTAAAGGTTTTTTGGGGAAAAGGAGGTCACCAACCAGGGTCTAAAACCAGGGGTCATTGTCAAAATTGGTTGAGAAAATCAGCATTTAAAAAAAAACCTGCTTATGTGAGTTGTTGCGTAATTTTCCTGTAGAGTTTTTTTTTTTTTTAAGTTTTATAAAAATGGAGACATGACTGAGAGGTAGTCTTGAGGACATACTGTAGTAGTGTGGAGTGATAAAGCCAGGGGGGTTGCAAACAGTTGGCTCAGCGAAGACATGCCACAGGATTGAGTGTGCCTGAGACAAGCAGGCCAGTTTAGAGATCGTGACGACGCAGGCTGGAATTACCCTTAACCATATCACAAAAATAAGCTGTCAACAAATAATTCGGTGGACTGACTGACTGGCTAAACGACTGCTGGACACACATCCAATATATAAATGCTTCACTCAGTTTATATTTAAAATAAGTACATTTCTTGTTCTTGTATTTAATCATAAGGTTTATCATGACTAAATCTTGTTTTACTTTCAATTCATCTAACAACAACAAGTTTCATTTAATGGACAAACTGCTTCTTAAATGACCAATTCAATAACAAATGTAACCAAATATATATATTTTGAAAATGCTAGTAACTATTTTATTAAATGTGGATATTAAAAAAGAACTTCTTCAGTGAATCCAAATATTCTGACCTAAATGTATTTATTTTAATATCCAAAACTACCATAAAGATAAGTAAAGAGTCACATTTAGGATGCTGGGATTAAAACATATTTAACATTTTAGCATAAATGACAACCTCTTCCAAATTCACCAATGAGCTGAATCAAGATATCTTTAAGGAGCTTTAAGGACACCAACATTTAACCTCAACAAATAAAAGCTGTTGTTGTACAAAACTGGATTAGGTTTGGCTTGGTATAAAGTGGTAGATGTGTGTAAATAGGGAACACACAGGGCTGTCTGTGGTGTTTTTCATTTCTTGGTTAATGAATACTGAGGTCTAACAAGTTGTTGGTCAAGATCGCGAACTCCCACTCCGGACTTTAAAACTGAAACCAAAAATGTGTTTATGTGCCAGAGAATTCCCCAAATGTGTCCTTCAACAGGGAGGGTTTTTTTGTTTTGTTTTAGAAGAAAGAACTGAAACTGAAAATATGTTCATGTAAGACAACCAATGTTAAAGTTGTCTATGAAATGAAATCACAAGTTGACAGCAGAGATCCTCTCCTCTCGGCTGTTTGTGTTGTTTTTGAGCACAAATCCCCCCACAAGCTGTCAAAAGCAAGACGTCAAGCACAGCTAAACACACTGACTTAAAACATGCGAATCTCATCAGACCTGTCCATGTGGGAATTTTAACATCTGGTTTTAAGACATTTACGAGAGTCACGAGTTTATTAAGTGAGTTAACAACAACAAACGCTGCTAACTACTAGCTGGCTAGCTGGTGTTTAGCTGTAGCAGGCGAGCGAAACAAACAGCACTTGTGCGAAAACGCCGACCTGTCAAGCGCACATCGTTTTACACAGCAGAGCGACGAATAACGAAATAAACACGTCTGCCTTACCGGGAGTTTTGGGTTCACTTCTCCCTTACAACAGTGACAGAAAAACCGATGCGGTGGAACAGCCGCAGCCTCCGCCATCTTCCCCAGAGCAGCACAAACACTGACGTCGGTCCTCCAACAAACTGAAGACAGCTGTCCGCCTCCAGCCCGGCATGCACCGCGGCTACGCCGAGCAAAATCCAATGCGAAGGTAAAGCCGGAGACCGGAAGTGCTCATGTGTTGACAACGAGAAGCGGCATGTGGGTAGACGTTGTTTACAGTCTATGGTTTTGACGTCAATCTTTGGGATTAAAAGGAAGGATTCTCCCTGTCCGACAAGGTGTGTTACAGAGTAAAGTAGTAGATACTTGACATGATGTTTGGCTGTAGAAGTTTATAATTTACATGCATGCAAAGTTGTTGTTGTTTTTTTTACCTTTTTTGCGGTCAGCCGTCGTTCACCAGTAGATTTTCGACTCTCAACTTTTAACATTTTATTACAAACTAAGTTTAATTGAAAAGCTGAACTGTGCCACTCTGTGTTTATGTGTGCCTGAACTGTCCTTTGTGTAGCCTTTGTTTGTTACCATGTATTACAGGCACTGACACCTTACTACCAAACAAGAAATGCTGTGTAGTTCACATTTCAGCAAAGTTATCCAAAATAATAAAATAAAACTCAAGAGAAAAAGGTTTGATAGGGCATACCTTTCTACATAAGCACGACTCAGTAATGTTGGGAACTATTGGTAATCATGGGCAATGCAATTCTGCAGCATTGAAGCTTAAAGCATTTTTTTTTTTTTACTCCAACACATCTGTAACATGGCTTATGCTTTAAGGAAGAGCTTAAACACATTATAACATGATTTGATTTGGACCTTTAATTGGCTAGTTGTTTTTTTTATGTTATTCTCATGTGAAAATTGCTGTGAAAAGCTCCTACAGTGTGGTTAAAAAAAATCAACAGTAGTCCATCCTCTAACATTTTCAAACATTGTGTAAGTGACAAATATTTCCTTGAGCAACAGTCTAGTTGCGGATATTATCACAATTGTCTATTTTCTAATGCATGCCTCCTACAGTAACTGTCGCCTCAGTTAGCAAGCTTCAGGCTCTTTAAAGCTTTTAATTAGTGCTTGATTAGAAACAGGTGTTATGAAAGGGTCAGTCAGTAAAACAAAACCTACAGTAAATAAGTACTCTATGTTACAAATATGAGGACATTTTTCCATTCTGTGATGTCTTGTCTGTTCAGATGACCGCCCAGGAGGTTCGTCTGTGTGGTCTGCTGTTGCGGGAGCACTTTGGAGAGCTGGTGGAAAAAGTGGGAACGCACCTTCTCCGAAGTGGAGCACAGAATTTGAGAACCCTCATTCATGAGACTGGCATCTCTCTTGACCTGGTACCACTCCTACCTATACTGTTCAGGCTGTGACTGTTTCTACTTCACTCCATGTTTTATCATACATTGTGTATTCTGGTTCATAAGTGAAGCAATGCCAGGAAGAATTAAAATGTAATACACATTTACTTTTTTTTTTTTTTTACATGATAGTTCAAAGCTGGTAGAAATACAGTTCTTTTATGTGAGGAAAATTATACAACTGAAATCCATTTTTCTTGAAGCTTATTGGAGTGATAAGAGTAGAACAATGCATGCTTATAAATTCCTACTATTATCTGTAATGTTTTTTTGATAAGATTGATTTGAATAATGATCCATTTTTGTTGTGCTTGTTAATTAAGTGTCTCTTCTCTGCCACTGTAGGTAAAGAAGTCCCTGTGTGTGCTTGTGCAGCACGGGGTCTGTGTGTTCAGCGCAGGCCGTAAAGGTCCCGGGAGCCCCACAGAGTATCTGACCAGCAGTGATCACATCCTGAGAATTCTGCGATACCCACGTTACATATACACCGCCAAAACCCTGTATGGTGACACCGGAGAGCTAATCATAGAGGAGTTACTCCAGAGGGGGGACATGACCATGAGCAGCACGGTTAAGACAGTGGCCGACCGCCTAACACAGAACATGGAGGGTCAGTAGCCTAAAGATGTTGTTAATCAAAGACTGTAGAAATGTGTCTATGTCTCCTGCAGCTGTGAGTGTGCGCTCTATGAAAACATCCATTTTTTTCTCCGTCTTTCTTATAGATGGTCACAGTATGGATTACAGTGAAGTGTCTAATGCTTTTTCCAAACTGGTGGAGACCCATTTTCTTCAGCGCTGCCCTCCAATGGCGGCAGCAGGAAAAAAAGAAAGTACTACTTCAGCTACACCTGCTACTCCTGGTACTCCTGCTGTCCCTGTTAGCACAGCTCCGCCCTCAGCAGAGAGCTTCCCCGACTGTTACAGGGTGCCTCATGTGACACTCACAGGGAGAGGCAAACGGCAACTCTCCAGCGAGGATGGAGAGGACCAAAGGAACGCGAAGAAGGCTAGAATGGATACAGAGGTGGGTGTTTGGAAAAATGTTTTAAACACGTTTGCTTCAAATTTAAAAATGCATTTACCTCTCTTCCTGTCCCTCTTTCCTTCATATAACATATTGTTTAACTTTTGTGTGACCTTTCACCCCTCTATCTTTGTGTCTCCCTCTTCTGTGCCCAGACGCATGGTGATGAGGGGATTTACTGGCAGGTGAATTTTGAGAGGTTCCACCTCCACTTCAGAGACCAGGCCATCATCAGTGCTGTAGCCAACAAACTGGGCCAGGTCTGACTTTGACTTTATTGTTACCATTGAGGAAATTATTATTCACAGCACTGTTACTGTCATAACAGACACAAGTTCTGGTGGGAACTGTCATTCCCACCAGAGAACATACATACAGAAAACACAGAGTAAAACACAAAACAGAGTTAGACAACAGCCAAGAGTTCACACTCTGGCCTGTTCAGCGAGGTCTGGTTTCCATATGGATTCTTAAAATATATTATTTCAAGGAATTCATTTTTTTTACACAAATCACCCCTTTAAGTGTTAAATAAGAATATTTGAGAAAATGGGGAAATAGCTTTCATGGGTCTGGGCAAAAATATCAAAATTCATTTATCAGCACATTTAAAGCTCAATCTCTTGTCAATTGTTTGCCTGTCAATACTAGGGTGATGAAAAGACTGTAAGGGAGCCAAAATATACACCAACAGTTATTATCAGTGTTAAACAAGAAATCACTTGTTAATTCATTAACTTTGAAAGTACTTGTTAGTGGAATCTGTTACCTTCAGAGTGAGACTAGCTGTTCCAGCTGCATTGTTGGTGTTTGGGTGAACTGACAGGCTGCCAGCTATAGATTCTTGTTTGCTGTTCAGAGTGATATCAATCTCTGATCCATCAGAAAGGACTCTTATAAACATTCCCCTAAGAAACTATTCTTTGAAGGATTTTTCAAATTGTGGATTTTTCACAATAACAACTTTATGGTTTGTGGTACAATAAGTCTGAAACTATAGCTAAGAACTAAATTTGTCCAACGTTCTGTTTTGATTTATTTAGAGTAAAGAACAAAATCTTTGAAAAATTGTTATGACCAGGAGCAAACAGATCTGATGTATCAGCTGTCAGTGTATTTGATAGAAGAGAAATCATACAGCCAATTATTAATATAATTCATTTGATAATAGAAATTGTCTTTCCAAATGTGTTTATGTAAATAACACAGACTAGCAGTGAGATAGTGAGGACGATGCTGAGGATGAGCGAGGTGACGACCTCGCCCACAGCAACCTGCACAAAGCCCCTCTCAGCCAATGAGATCTTCAGATCCCTCCCCAATAGTTACAGCATTGCCAGACCCATCCTAGACCAGTACCTCACACTACTGGTTGATGACCCGGTAAGACCTTTGGAAGACACATATCACTTTAATGAGTATTAGTTTTTACCGCCAAGATTTCCCTAAATAAACTTTATCTTTCCTTTCTTAGATGGAGTTTGTGGGGAAGGCTGGAGAAAGTGGAGGGGGGATGTTTGTTGTCAGTATCCTTTTTTTTTTATATGGACACTCCAAAGGATGTGCTATTTAATTCATGAAAACCGAGGCAGGGATGCTTTTTCTTAATTCATCTCCCAGATCTGCACAGGGCGCTGGCCAATCTGGCTCGGGCCACAATTGAGTCAGTCGTGCAGGAGAGGTAGGCCAGTATGTTTTTTTAATAAGTGTGCTCGATGTCCTGTATGGTCAATTAAATCCATCTTTATTTTTGTCATCAGATTTGGTTCCAGATCTGCACGCATCTTCCGGCTGTTGCTAAGGAAACGTCACCTGGAGCAGAAACAGGTGGAGGATTTTGCTATGATTCCAGCTAAAGAGGCTAAAGACATGCTCTACACGCTGCTTTCACAGAACCTGGTGCAGCTACAGGTAATATTTCTCTCTTTTATTGACATTTTCAGTATATATATTTTTATCGCTAATCTGATTACAATGAGGAAATAATGATGAAGTACAGTATACATGGCTGGTTTCATGTCTCTCTTCAAGTCAGTTCTGTTGGTGTACCAACATGAGACTTCCTGGAGAGTGGGAGTAATCCAAAAAGATCTGATCCAAAGACCTACTTTGAAAATTGTTTGGCACACATTTTTTTAGCTGCACTTAGTGAATGAGGTATTTCTAAAAGTGCTGCAGAGTAGTCCAGTCTTTTATTACAGCCTGTCCAATGGTCATTGGTGAAAGAAGAACATTTTCAAAGTGACCATTTTTCAGTTTCTCTGGCATATTGACAATTTGAATGAGCACACCGAGAGGATTTGGCTCAAAACATTTCAGGGAGTAGCTCCAGTTTCTGTTTTGTAATCCACCTACTCACCCTCTCCGAACAGTCATGATGTGTTTTATTTTTTATTCTCAGGAAATCCCTAAGACCCCTGACTATGCTCCCTCTCGTACCTTCTATCTTTACACCGTCAACCAGCTCCCTACTGCGAGAATGCTGCTTCAGAACTGCTACAAGGTAAAATAGTGTCACAGCTCTGGATAGAAGAGAGCTACAACAAAGAAATCTGTTTTACTTTATGTCCCATTTGCTCTAAGTAATGTTTTATCACTGAATATTTTTCTGTGTGCAGACAGTAGCAAACCTCATTGAGCGCCGCCTGTTTGAGACCAAAGACAGCAAGTAAGTTCATCAAAACTGTGTGCACATGTTGTCTGTGTGATAATGTAGCAAACAACGTTTTTTTCTGACACACACACAATGCCTCAGATCATTAGTTGATTGGTTTTCTGTCCACAGGCGTCTGTTGGAAAAGTCTCAGAGAATCGAGGCCATTCTGGCATCTCTTCAGGCCAGCGGGGCTGAGCCCGAACAGCTGAGTGAGGTGGAGGAGATGATCACTGCATCTGAAAAGCAACAATTGGCGTCTCTGCGGCTCCATATCAACAAGTAAGAGGGAGATAATAACAGAATCACAATTCCTTTTGTATTCTTGACATCAGTGAATCACATCTTTAGTCACCTGTTAGTGTTAGTACTCACTGCTTTTCTTTCCCCCTGCAGGTTAGATTCAGCAGAGAACCAGGTCGATGAAACCATCTTTCTTCTTGAGTCCTACGTTAACTCAACTGCCACAGCAGCAAGCTGAGTCACATGTGCTTTAGTCAATATGGCTTTTTTAAATAGTTTCTATGTCTGAATTGTTTCAGTTTGGAGTGAAATAAAATCAAAATTTATTGTTATTTTACTGCATGTTTCAGCAAACGAATAAACTGAGCGCAGCAAAACTTCTTTCAAATTTTATTTTATTAAAGAACAAACACAAAACTGTCAAACAAACACAGGACAAATTGATCATATGAAATGAGAAACCATAAAGATGTCTGCATATTAAATAGAAGTATCGTGGTTTAATACACTTTGGGATTGCTTTAAAAATAGAACAAGATTATTTACATAAGTGCCCCCGACCCTGGAATAAGCGGGTAGTGCATTTCTGTTGGACCCTCGTGATTCTCTCTTTGGTCCTGGAGGTCCCTGTTGCGTCTGTGTATCGAGTCCAGTCCCAGGACTATCTCTGTGCCCGCTAATAGGCAGACTCATGTGGTAGTCATCATGGCAAATGACTGTTGTCATGGCAGCAGAAATTGGGCTCAATCCTCATGGTTCTCATCCTCTTCTCTCTGTTTGCGTGTGAAGAATCCCAGCTGGTAAGAAAAAAAAAAAAGAGATTGATTGGTCAGTCCAAAACACATCCATTATCCTGCAGAAATATTGTGCTAAATGTGTCACCAAAGTACCTTCCATAGTGTGAAAATGATAAGGGCCAGTAGCAGCAAACCTCCGATGATGCTACCAATTAAAATCCACAGTGAGATGGGAATAGCTCTGCCTTTTAGCACCTCCAGTACAGTCTGCAGAAAGAGACATGAAAGAAAATACTCCAATTTCTGCAGCTCAAAATCACAGCACAGACTTCTTTATTAAGTGTCTTTTAACTTCAATTGAAAAACAGCTGGTTCAAAGCGACGTACAGTGGATCCTTTTCTTGAAAATAAAATTAAACATAATTTTGAGAACAAACCTAAAAGCACAATAGTCCATGTAGCAGAGAACCAGGGAACTACAATAACACTGATGCTCTTACCCTGAAGTCTGCTCCATTAATAAACTCAATGCATTTTCAATGTAAAAGATTTCATGCATCATATGAAGCCAATCAGCTAATAGTGTTGGACCTTGATGACCTTTTTGTTTTCATGTTGTTGTTTCATTTGGTTACTAGCATAATTCTAAATGTCTGCCTTAGAAAGGCCCAGAAGCTGAGGCGACTTCTTACCCATACACTTCTTAGTTATTTTTACGCTGTCTCTGATTGGCTCGAGTCTTTTTAATCTTAGAACAACCCAAAATACACGAGTGAGTTGCTTTACTGTGTCAGTCGTCTTACCTCCCTCCAGACTGTTCCTGTGCCCAAAGTGACGAGGTTCATCTCCTGAGCTTCGAGGCGATAGGCACCTATTATCCTCACTGACTTATATTTGGCCTACGAAAGGAGACGGGGGTGATGACTGATGTTTGTGTCACAGGACAGAAAAAATATGACCTTCTGGGGGCTGTTGCAGAACTCACTTTTCTGAAAAAATCATCATGAACTCTGCGGCTGACACGAACAATGGCAGATTGTCCTCTTAGAAGCTGTTGGACTTCACACACCACCTCCGTGCACCATGACCTGCTGCAGTTCTTCACACACACACACACAAACAAACAGCATGTTAGTGTGCTATGTGATGCTGCACAGTGTTCAGCAGCTGCTGTGTCACCAGGGGGGCCTCACCAGTACGTCATTCTGCATCATGTCTTCAGGATGAAGCGAGCGCACGTCTCTCTGTCTGGCCTTCAGCTGGGCAAGATCACTCAGCACACTGCAGTTCACCCCTGTGGCCTGTGTGTGGGTGGGGGTTGGGGTTGGGGGTGTGATGGGCGCGTTAAATATGTCAGACATGATCTAAAAGAGAGAGACATGCACTCAAGCAGCAGCTCTACTCACGTTGTATGAAAAGACATCGGTGACGGTCATAAAGACGCGGTCTCCGGCTGCCACAGAGGGCAGATGCAGCCTGAGCTCCAGATTACTCACAGAGTAACAGCCGAGGTTCTGCAGCTACAAACACAAACAAAAACATGCTCTAATTTACTCTGTTTTCCTTGAAGCATTAACGTTTGTAAAATTAGCATGTTAGCCATTGTTTAATACCCTGAGGTGCGTGTAAAACTCTGGTCCAATTGCCTCTGACACCGTACGAGTGGGGTGGACCTCATATCGGTTCAAATTAGAGTCACTGCACAGAAAAAACAGAAAGCAAACACATGACAATTACCACAAATGTTTGTTTTATTTAGTCTGAATATTTGATTTAAAGGTAGAGTATCCTAAACAAACTTACCTGCTAACAAACATGTCTGGTTCATACTGGACAAAACTCTGCAGCTGAACACTGTTGTCCCCCAAAGTGTTCTCTCTCTCTATACTGTCACTGTAGGAGAACCAGAAAGAAACATAAATCCAGAGTTTTCCATAGAAAGCACAGCATATCTAATCTTGAAAAAAACCTCATGCTTGATAATATTGACAGTATGTGTGCTTTAGTGAGCTACCTGGCAGCGTGAAGCTTCATCTGCACTCGACTGTGCAGAGATGTGCAGCTGAACTCAAACTCCAGCATGAAGTTAACCTGCAAACATAAGAGAGAGGAGGCTGCTGAAGTGACACATGACACCTGGAGGAAGTGAAGTGTGAGTTGGGGGAGTGATGGTTATTCCCTCAGCGTGGACATACTTTTGACTGGGAGCGGAAAACTGGATAGCTCACATTACACGAGTGGCTGTTGGCACCGAGTGCTGTACACTCGATCTTAAAGTGGGCATCCTCCTACAGGAAAAGAAATAGAGTTTTTCAAAAATAAGTCTACATATATTAGATAAATATTGATGGAACTGTTTGCTTAGTGATGCATTTGGTAGTTGATTATGGAGTGGTTTACTCTAATGCTGAGGCTGGAGAAGTGCAGGTTGCGTGAGTAGTGCAGCGTCAGGCTTGTGTTGTAGGCGTTCTCCAGTCTGTTCTGAAGCTGCACCTCCACCGCCAGACGCCTACGAGGGCTGCGAATCACATAAGGCTTCTGTCTGTGGAGGAAACACAATGACAACTCACTAAAAACTACATAGCTAGCGAAGAGAATAGAGAAAATATGTCAAATCTGTACCTTGTCCCTGAGATGTCCATATGAGCCTGCAGCACCAGGTCTGTGGTGCACACATCGTCCTCCCCGCAGTCTTTAAAGAACTGTATCTGAAGAGGTACAAGAGGATAGGAACACATGATTTATGGAGAAGAGGAAGACAATGTGCCTCAGTAAAGCCATTTTCATACATGCACTGCATCTTTGAACATTTCCAGAAGTTTTGGGGGGGTGAGCTGCAAAAACAAACAGCCAAATTATTCTCCCTAACTTTCCCCCACACTTTTTCCTGCCAGCCCCTTCGTAAAATGTCGGCAAGACGCTGAGCTGATGTGTGAATGCAGCAGGTTTTATTCAGGAAAACTGACCACGAGAGAGTGGGCGGAGTTAATGACATTAATATCAAGTGACCGGTGAGAAACTGGTAGGATCTTTGTGCACGTAATGAAGCTGGTTCCTACTCTATTCTGCTCGCCAGAATGTTCTTTTTCATAGTGTTGGTCTATGTTTCTTCGTCCGCCATATTACATTTTTTGTGAACATTACACTTTAGCAGTATCCCTTTTCATTCTCCTGAGGGCCTCTCTTTCTAGAAGTTTCTGAATAGCAAAAATCTCCTGTGTTGAGGACCATATGTGGAAGGGGATACAGGAAGAATTATACAGGTTGTTCAGAAATAGCTGCTTATGAAAGCTGTCAGTAAATGTGCTGCTTACAGTTTTCTTGACAGTGGTTGGCCAACCTTCATCCAGCACTGGCCCACTCTCTGTATTGTTGATCTTGAAGCGCAGAGAGAAGCTAATTGGACGGATGTAATCAGCGGTATCCTACAACAAAGACAGAAAACAATGCTTGTGATAAGAAAATTTAGTGTGTTTTTTGTTTGAACAACAATAAACCTGATTTTAGGAATCCTACATAGACGTGGAAGGGCAATTTGTGGCAGACAGTTTGTCCCGTGTGAACCGGGACAGCCAGCTGCGTCTGTCTGTGGGAGCTGTCGTCAAAAAGTGCACGAGCAGACAACTTCCTGTCGTCAAGCGTGGCCGACACCCACAGATCTGAGGAGAGAGAAGGTAATTGGGACAGATGGTGAGTGTTGGAATATTCCCACTCCAGTAATTCGTGTGCCTTGCCAATTCACAACACACACAGTCCCTCTAAAAAGGATTAGAGAGGAAGAGTGTACAAATAAAGTGTTATACCAAAGCTGTTGCTGTGTGATCCAGGGGAACGGGAGACAGTGGTGAAGCAGGCGGTGGCATTGAGACAGGCGGACTCTCTGCCTCCCCTCTGGCATGTTTTCTGGATGACGTTGATGGAGTGCGGCTCAAAGGACAGACTCACATTGATCTGGACGATGCTTCGAGAGCTGCACAGAGGAGAGACAGGGCATGATAAAACAGGGCTTATTTGTCAGCCATGTGACACCACAGACATGTAGAAACCAGTAGGGGATGTGAATCTACATAGAGGGAGGAATTCTTTGTGGGTTAGGGTTACTGAGGTTACTAGATGATTTAAGGCAATGCATTTAAGGTTCCAGTGAGGAGTTATGAAACAAGCTAGGGGGGGGGGGAATTGACCCAAACCAAAAGTTTATCACAGCTTTGTTATCTCCATGTGCTCGAGGCTATACAATAAAACATGTTCTTGAAATGCCCTGCCCTTTTCTCCAGACATTGCTCACCTGAGTAGCACTGCACTGCCCTGTGCTCCAACTGCCAAGTCTATCAGCTCATCTCCATCCAAGTCCAACCGAGCACTTAAACTGCGGCCAAAATACTGCAGGGAGGGGGAGATCGATGACCCAGCGATACGCTGACATCATGAGAAAGGAAGACACAAAAAGAAAAACTAAAATCAGCTTGACTGAATTCTTAAAAACAGAAGAAACTTTATCGTAGGAAAATGACAAGTACCTGCTTATAATTGTGGATGACGTATATGCCGTTGCCATGGTAGACATAGAGGGCCCCCCTGTGTTCATCCTCCAGAGGGGCTCCCACTAGCAGGTCAGTGAAGCCGTCATGGTTGAGGTCTGGAACGGCCGCGAGTGCGTAACCAAACCTGGCATCCTGGGACTTTTCCTCGGACTTCAGGGTGCCATTGGAGACAAACACCTCATCCTGGGACACAAAAAGGGGGAATAGCTAAAGTTTTACGTCAGGTTTTGAGATCAATGATGAGAAAATAAATGAATAAATGCTGTATGTTCTCTGAGTGGTTGCATAACAATTCATAGGGAGGAAGATGATCAGCGTTACTGCTGTCTTACCCCACTGAGAGTATAAATGTAGACTCTGCCGGCCTCCTTGTTTCCTGAGCCGAGGAACATTGGAGCAGCGACCAGAAGGACATCAGTGATGCCATCCTGGTCGATATCCAGCCCACACACCTCACTGCCATAGTAAGACCCAATCTACACACAGAAACATGCTCTGTCAGATGACTGCCAGCAGGTGGAGCCCTTGCTTTACCCTGCTGCAATAAATAAATAGAAACTGAGTTGACTCATGAAGATAGCTTTACCTGTTCTCCATTGAGTGCCTGTACAATGTTGACATCTCCCTCGTCACTGAGCTCAAATAGGATTACTTTGCCTTTGTGTTTGAATCGAGGAGCCCCAGCCACATACAGCCTCCTCCAGTCTCCAACTATCACAGAAGACACTGTGTAACCTGAAAAAAAAAACACATAGGTACACATCATGTGAAACTGCAAAGAATCAGTGCCCCACATGTAAGAGTTAAAGAATCATTTTTAAATGTTTGAAATCACCACAAACCCATTGGACCTGTGCTGCTGTTAGTGACTATCGTATGTTCAACCTGAACAGAGTTGAGCCAAAGTTTCTCAACCTCATGTTCTTGTTTGTGGTTGCCTCAGTTTGCATGTTTATACAGTTAAAAGTGTGGTCTGTCTGTTTACAACATGCTGATATAAATCTCTGACGTATGTGATTTGAGAGTTAACTCCACAGGAGAGGTTCATTCATAAGTTATGACATAAAATCAGACTCATTTTTTTTAGTAATCAAAAAGGGGATGATTAGAAAGGATCACACACATTCTGTAGCTTTTATTCCATCAAACTGGGCCAGGGGTAGTTTGATTTTTAAAGTGGTAAACTGGTCCCAGTGGCCCAGAAGTCCACAGTTTGGCAGCTTTCTTGTATGTGTTTAGGTTAGTGAAAAAATTAGACATTTTCAGATGTAGCTCTGCCATTCAGGATATTTTAAAAGGGGGCTGTCCCTTTTTCTGGATAGTTTGAAGACCAAACTATGAATCGGTTTATTGTTTGGGATGATGTTGGGCTCAGAAGTAATTTTGCTTCTTGAGGATAATTTCGACTGTGTTGCCAGTTTTCTGTTTCATGCGTCTGAGTTTCCAACAAACACATGCATATTCCAGCCTGGTAGAAAATGTTTCATCACTAAAACAATAATCTGTCATAGTTATCTACCAACATGCAAAACATGCATTTAATATTTGCGGCTACCTAAATAAGCAGCATGATTTTTAAGCTCCAGTGGAAACTCGCTTTCAAACGCCTCTCTGGGCGGTATGATGGGTCCGTTGAGCCCTTCCTTCAACACACCACCGTCCCAGTCGTAGGCGCCCACCATCCCGAACAAAATGCCATCCTGAAGAACAGAAAGTGGCATGGATGAGATGGCCAGGTAAACACATACTGTACACTTGACACAGAGATAAAACAGGAACTTACATCCAGTGTGTGTGTGGAGAAGCCAATCTGAGACATCTCCATGTGGAATGAGCTCTGGTTGTAGCCCAGCGTCCCTACAGGCGGAGACAGAAAGCAATGTCAGGCTGCACCTATCTCCACCCATCCTTCCTCTCCATCTCAGGATCTGACCTAGACGGCATCAGAGGCACTCTTACGCACTCTGAGGACCCCAGGTGGCAGACTTGCCTCACCCTTTCCTCGCCCCCTGTCTGATTTCCCTTAACATTTTAAAGGGGATCATCACATTTCATCAGCCTTCCTATCCTGTTCCTGAGAATATTGTGACAGCCGTACACTCCCTCTACCTCCCTCTCCTTTCTTGCTTTCTCGGCAGGTTTACTGTTTATTTTCTCACAATGGACTCAATTTTCTTTAACTTTCTAAAGAACGTTTTAAATATTCTTTCTTCAAGTCCATCGTGTATGTTAGTCTTTCATTCATCTTCTGCTTTCTCAGAATACTTTAATTTTTTTAATGTTTGCATTCAAAGAACTGTATCATTGCTGCTTTGGTTTTTTGTTTTAAAGCAGTGTAACTTTCATTCATCCACTGACTCTTTCTCTGCATCACACACCTTCCAGAGTGAAGATGCGGTCTCCCAGAGCATCCACGATGTCATTGAGCGCAGCTTCATCGGTCACATTGAAAAAGTATTTGTCGTCTGGGTCGGTGGCGATATACTTGATCTCGTTAATGAATGTCTCAGGATCCTGCTGCCGGCGGATGTAATGACCCAAAACCTGGAGCGCAGCGTGAGAGGAAGAGAGGGGGGGGGGGACATGAAACAAATAAGCAGATAATGCAGGCTTCATAAAACACTGAGGGATTACACAAGAAGCAGAGAACGGGTTTGAGAGAGATAAAGACAGAGAGCGCAAACACACTGGCATGTTTGAGAACAGTTATATTTCTAAGGGACAGAGAAGATAGAAAGAGAGATGACACATGGTTCTTTATGCTTCTTTCAACAGTTTGAAGCTTAGTCAGGTTACTCTGATTTCAGGGCATCAACGTTTAAAAGTATTATTTTTAAACATTGTCTTCATGAGAGTCTGAAGAGGGATATCACAGGAGCCTGAGGGAATAGAAAAAAGGGCCAATAGCACCACTACATACACTCATCCTTACGTTACCTGAACTTCAGGATTTAACCGTGAACTGAAACAAACACACTTCATGGCCTGTGTCATTCACAAGTAATAACCTAAAAGCAACAAATTGAATGGAAATCTCAAAAGCCGAGGAAATGGTAGCTACCAGAGGTTTGTAAATGAGGGGTGCAGACCTCTCAGAGAGGTGAAGAGATGACTGATGCAGGAGATAGATTGTAGCAGTAGTGGTCTATGGCTTACTGCCTCAAGTACAAATAAGAAAATTCCATAAGAGAAACCAAACCCAAGAATCTCCCCCTGTGACTCCAGCTGCCAAGCAAACTAAGGAAATCCTCTGTTTTCAAAGGGCAGGGGGAGTGAGAGGGGTGTAGTGTGTAACATGAAGACAGACCACGTATAAATATGTACATTAAGAATTCATAGAGGCTGAGAAATTCCACTCAGGCTGCCAAATGTGTCGAGCAAAGAAAGAGAAGAATAAAGACTCTCAAAATATGTTTTCATACATCCATAGCTGAGCATTAACGTCCCCTAAACACACACACTGTCAGCCCCTGTCCTGCCTTAATGTATAAAACACAGTCTGTAGTGAGCGCGATGTTGTTTTGAAGGCTCTGCACTCCCCTGTGAAACATTTTTACTGAAAACACACAGACATGCAGCGGCTCAGAGAGCGACACCAAAACATGACCGCTGTTACAAGGAGTGCTCACCTGTCAACGCGCTAAATGATCCGGGAAACACTCCAACGAAGACTAAAAAACCTAAAACCCAAAAAACTGCTTTTTCAATGTTTTTTTTTTCTTTTTGCTTTGTCTTAATGCGACTTACTGCCGTGTCTTTGTAAACTAAACTAAAGCACTATATAAATCAAATTACTTTGTATTATTATTACTATAACTATAATTAATGCTCTTTTTTTGCATCCAAGGCTCCCAGAAAAATCTGCTCTACTGATACATTGACTGTCTGTCCATGGCTTTCTGTTTCCTTCTCTGTAAGTATTCTTTTGTTGACATAGTATAACCTTTTGCTGAAGTCAGGTAGAGTGGTAATTTAAAGAGCTCATAGTGAAATAACCATAATAACCCATTTTAACACAATTTCTGGTTTTCAAGCCAATATCCTCTCTCTGTTTGCACTCATTTTCAGCTTCTAAGGGAAACGTTTGCACAAATTACGAAATGAAAACTAATTTTCTCAAACTTCCCACACACAGCCACACAGTTAAAGAAGTTTCACGCTTTTTGAAACTATAACTAGCTGAGAAATCTTCTTCCTATGTATTATATGGAGTTAAAATGGATTACATATGTAGCGCTACAGGCAGTGTAAAATACACTTTACTATGCTTTTCGAACACTAATATGTGTCTCTAGTCCAGTGTTTCCCCTAGGTTAACAGCTTTTTGGGGGGGCAGACGGACGCTGACACAAACACTTGAAGGAATCTTGGTGTTCATGTGTTACTTTTAATGACAGCTGTCCTTTTCTATCAGAAAGGTATCCTTAAATGACTTCTTTCCCTTATTTCTGACTCTATCCACTATCCTATCTCTACAGTAAAGGCACAAAAAGCCATTTTCTCATTTTCTCATAATGATTCTAAAAATCAGGACGATCAAATTTGATTATTATTAAGTGTTGACTTGTATCTGATATTCCCCATTCATAAAATACATCTGATGTACATGGTGTACACATATTTGTATGGTGGCATTGTGCCACTCCTTGTTTCTCCATGAGGGTTCATGCTCTTTTCCTTTGAGGTTTCAGTGGAGTCTGGATGTTCCCCAGCTATTCTTGTGGGGAGGGGAGGGGTCTGCAACCAGTACTACTTCCAGAGTCCGTCTGCCCCTCTATCACCAAAAGCCCCGCACAGTGTGTGTGTGTCAGGGGAGTTAGGTGGGGCTAGAAAGGAAGAGTTTTTGTTCCCACTAGGCTATTTTAGTGCACCCAAGGGGTTCATTTTGTAATTTGGAGATGTTATTTTGGGGGGAGTGGTGGTGGTATTGTGTGGTTGCTTGAGGGTTCAGTTGGTCCCTATACCACAATGTGTGAGGAATGCCAGGGATGCTCTACACACCCAACTAATAATGTGGGATTGTTACTCATTCATTTCACCTCTTTTCATGGTGAGAACATCTCCTGAATCAAAACTGACACCATTTAAAAAAAGTCATTTCAAATCATTTTCTTGGTGTAGATGTACTCACAGCAATGGCATATCTTGTGATGTTCCTGTTCTCGCACTCCATGAGAGCATCCGGTAGCTCCTCCCCGTCATGTGACTCTCCGTCTGTCACTACAATCATTACTTTGGTGGCACCATCCCTTGCTCCGCGCTCAGCACTGAAAGCCTCCGTGCTACGAAGAAAAAGAGAAGAGACTGAGATATGATACTTCACGCTAAGTTTGCTGAAACATCCTCCTGAATGATAAAATATGTATCAAGTGTATCGTATGGTATCGTATGAGATGAATGCTGGATATTAAGAGAAAAATAGAATCAAAGAGAAGGAGAAGAGAAGTGAAAAACAAGAACTTTAAGAGATTGAAAGTGAGGGAGGATATCGGGATAGTAGCCATGTGGTTTCCCGAAATCTCAAATAAACTCTTCCTATTAAAAAAAAACCCACTTTAAAGGGCTCCTATTAGAAAACAAGTTGCCACGGAAACAGCGACAGAATGGATATAAATGGTCAAAATCACAACTGGCCCTTTCTAGAACTAAATTAATCATACATTACACACATAAACTAGTTGACTCAAATTGGTCGTTGCATGCAGCTAGCGTTTGTCATCGCACACGACAACCGCATCTGTGCATTCCCATCCGGTTGTGCAATGATACAGAGAGGAAACCTAAATGACAAACACACACAAATGGACTCAAGCCGCACCCTGTCTGACTGCTGGAAACCTGTTTTCAGTGGGACCTGCTTCAAGCATTGAATAGGGTCGGTAAGCCTCAGACCAACATACACACACACACACGCAGTCACACACACACACACACACACACACAAACGTGGTGAACTGGGGATAGTAGTCACTGCTAGCGAACTCAGTCATTTTCAGGCCTAACTCCAGCCCTTGTCTAAATATAACATTGTGGTCAGCCGCAAGAAACTCAGAGTTAAAAACAACCGTTTCCCCTATGCAGACTGCAAATTAACATGGGGTGCAGAGAGGGAGAGGGCAGCAGAAAACAGGAGGGAGCAGAGAGGAGAGAGTAACAAAGAGAGAGGTCAAATACAGGAGAAAAAGAAAAGGATGACGGCAGATACGTAAATACTGAGTCTAGAAATTTTTAAAAATAGTAATAAAAACAGCAGAGCAGGAAAAAAAGATGACGACACAAAGAAAGGGGCTCAAATTTAACAGGACAATAAAATAGAGTGAAATAACGCCGAATTTTACAACTAAGACTTGCAAATCCCACTCTGATGTGGTATTGCAATTAAGTGATGTATAAATTGAACAAAAAGGGTTGGAAAGAGAGAAGAGAGATATACAAAAGAGGGAGGAAAAATGAAAATGGGGAAGGGTAATGACAACATGACGAGACATGGGTGATACACACAGGTCAAGAGGGAAGGAAGAATAAAAAGGTGAAGATGAATACAGATAAGAAAGAGGAAAGAGGAGATGAAAGAGGAGAGAAAGTGAGAGATGCTAATTGGGAGGCCTGGTTGTATTTACAACCCATTTTATGGAGTCGCAGCAGTGTGGTAATGACACGGCGCAGTGGTTTGTGAGTGTGCTTTTGTGTGTTTGTGAGTGAGTTAGAGCGTCTCAGACGGGTGGAGCAACATAAAAATCAGAGACTTAGCCAACTGTAGAGAGTTGTTTGATGTTCATGCATCAGTCTGTCATCTACTTTCTAATTTTTAAATTCAAAGTGTCCTCTGTTTACTCCATTACTATCATTTGCACGTCAACATGACACTGTGTGAGGGTACGAGGCCACTTTAAAACCCTCTGTGCGGGAGGAATTTCAGTCAGTTTCTTTTTCTTTTTTTAAAGTTTCTTTACACATTTATTAAAGCTGAGATCAAGTCATTTAAACACTTAGTTTGATGTTTGTGAAATGAGCTGTATTCATTTATTTACATGAATACAGCATTACTCTTCAACAGGAAGCTGCTAGCTCTGGTAACAAAGCAAATAGCAAACATTCATTTGTCAGAAGTATTTTTTGTTTATTGGAAATGTTTCTGTTAGAGCCAAACAGTCAAAATCAAGTAGTGTGAAATCTCAGTCAGGTCAAATCTGTCAGAAATCAGCACCTCTGTGAGTGTGCACCGATTGCTCACACAAAAATAAAATCCTCAAAAGCCTCCAGGGCCAAATATTTATAGCCATGTTCACCAAGTGCTCGGGTTAAGGGTTAAGTTTATAATAAGGATAAGGTCAGGGTAACGGTTAAGGTCAACAATTTAGCGGAGAGGGTTAAAGTTGAGCTTAATGGGTAAAAGTGAATGCCCTCAGTATCAGCTCTTTTAAGGATACTAAAAGAAATGAGTGTGAGTGTGCATCACAATATCTGCCTAAAGCAACAACATGTAGGAATATGGTGCGCTTTTGTGCTCACCGATGGTCTTTGAATGCACCAGCACTGTCTTACTGTAAGACACATATATTGCTGTTACGCCTACCCCACTTAGACAACGTGCGTTTGTTTACAAGCAGATGATGTGAAGGCGGCAAAGGCGACTCGAGAAGCTAAACAACCATGTCAACTGACAGGTACATTCATATTACCAGATATTTTGTTAATATCACTCTGCAAGCGTCTTCAGCCCTTTGTTTGAAAACTCTTTGCATGTTGAGTATGTTAATGTGTTTGCCACGATATCTACAGGCTGAGGCTAAATGGCTACATCGAAGAGGGTAATTTATTATGCTAGTTGAGATAGGTTTGTAAAACTCAGAAAGTTAACTTGAAGATTGACAAGGACAGATAACTTTTCGGCATAAGATGGATAATCATTCTTTTTTTAATGCAAATCTAAGATATAATTTGGGTTAGATGACCTTCTGCATGGTTAAGATGCTAAACATGAGTCAACGATGTACCCGGTTCACAATACAATGTTTTTAGTCACTGCAATTTGCTGTTAGTTTCACCTCTTATCACACCTAATCCTTTAACTCATTTTCAGCGCTGTCTTACATTATCCCGCTCAGTCTTCCTCTTTTGTCCCGCTGTCAACATTTTCTTTGGCCAGTTAACTTTGGCTCACGTTCACTCACACATCATTCATGTCATAAGCGCCTCTGTAAGGCGTCATAAAGTTATAAATTGGCAGAAAATCTGATCAGAATGCCATATTTTTTTTATTCAAATATCAATATTTGGCCCCAGCTTTTCAATAACTGCATCACAAGTCAGGGTGATGATATATATATTGCGGAATCATTATTTGGTCCCACACCTGGAGCATGAAAGGTTAGCCCTTAATATGTGTGTAGGTGTCCCTCAGAGTGCACACTGTAAGTGTCTCTGTATTTTTACAGCTGCAGGAGCGCTACTTGGCTGACCAGGCTGGGTCAGTATGTGCTGCAACTGCAGCCGTGCTGAGCCAGCAGCAGACTGGTCCAGCTCAGCTAATCTCGCTGTTTTTCTACCCCATCACTTTCCTGACCGGTGCCATTGCTGCTATCTCTCCATCTGTACACTATGTATGTGTGTTTGTGTTAGAGCAGTCACACTGAAAGTAAGTTGTTGTTCTTCGATATTTCCTTCCTTTGATACTCAATTACATCCCTGCCCCAATTTGTTTTTACTATGACTAATTAATTAATCCATCCTGTGGCACAATAGTAAGAACATTACACTCTAGCAACCTACTAAAGACTCCTTTGTTTAGTTTCATGACTGCTGAGGAGTCGAATTAGTGTTTGAAACATCTGACACGGTAAGAAAATTAGAGACAGCTGAAGGTAAAGAGCAAAAGAAAGTGTGTAGTACTGTCTAGGTTTCCAGTCAGTGGTGTTTTAACGCTACAGTAACACTATTTTAACTGGCTCCATTTTCCAGTCACTGCTTTTCAACTACCTTCTAAACTTCTCCAACTTTTACCTTTGAATGTACCAGAAAACAGGAACTCTCCAATTACCTGTATTTTTCTGTGTGAATGTGTGTGCTTGTGAGTGTGTGTGTGTGTGTGTGTGTGTGTGTGTGTGTGTGTGTGTGTGTGTGTGTGTGTGTGTGTGTGTGTGTGTGTGTGTGTGTGTGTGTGTGTGTGTGAGTATGCGCGTCGAGGTTAAACAACCCTCTAAGATACACATTCCAAAAATGGAAGTCGTGGCCACACATCAGGTCTGGGTGTGGTGCTCTATGGGAAATATGACTTTAATAAAGAAATAATTTTATTTTGAAAAGAACAAGATAATCTAAGACTTAGAGGTTTTCTTTATGCCACTGACCCTTAACCTACAGGGTTGTTTTGTTCAGATTTGAGTTACCAACTTAAATACCTCCAGGATACTTATACAAAGAGAAGTCAAGAGGAAGCTGCAGCAGTACTGCTAAGATTTAGTTCAAAGAGTCTATTTGAAATACAAACAGCAACTCGTGACAGGATATCTGGATATCCATTGTCACTTACATATTGCCAGCTGAAGGCGGGAAATGAACGCCCCTGTTAGACCTCGTCTGAAATGTTTAACTCATAGAGGTGGAATGACGGGGCGAAGTCGTTCTGCCCCTGATCTAACATTAGAGGTAGTAACAGAGGCGTAACGATGGGAGTCAGAGGCGCTGCAGGGCACTTACTGTGTGTGTTGCACAACAGCAATATTTTGCCTTTTACAGAAGCAATGAGCAAGTTTGAAGGCTTGATAATGGATGAACTTTGAAACGCCATTGTGGAATCACACTGTGTGAAGGGCTTATGTATCTCGTATAAAAACTATATAATCATGACATTATGTAAGAATTACCAGCCTTACTCTATTGAACTTTTATAAACCTCTGCTGTTTTGTTTTTGTCTAGTTTTAGCTGCAAGCTGTCAACACAACATTACATTTTTTAAAAGAAGGTACTTTTGATGGTAAGTCAACAGTTAGGAACATAAATTATATGAAAGGACATTTTCCCCCTTCCTTTAATGTCATTTCTCTGCAGCCATAGGAGAAACTTGAGTTATGTAATCTAAGGTGAGTGGTCAAGGCTCAAGTTTACACAGATTGGTGGAGCACCTGAGCCATCACAACACTGGCTAGTTCTCATGCTTACCATAAATATCATATTCTCAAAGAAAAATGACTGACAGAGGTGCCTACAGTTTTATTTTAAACTTTTCTTTATAAACATGCAACCTGCAATACACAACAAACACACGCTGACCACTACTTGTTGTTATTATTGTTGTGCTGTTGCTATACCAACCCTTGGCTGTCCCTTTTTTGCGCTTCTATTGATGGTGCATTTGCAAACAGTAAATAAAGACTGTGGGTTTGTTGTTTACTGTTTGGTTCGAATGTGCCTAGTGATTTACCAACTTCGGCAGGCTGACATGGCAACAGTGATGGTAAACAGTTTCTCTTTTTTATCCAGAAAACATGTGCAACAATTATTTTGAAGATGTGTTTTTGACAAAACTCATTTCTTTTGAGCTTATTAGTAAATTAGTAATTTGGATTCCACCAAACCTGATGAAAACATTGATTTACCTGCTCAGTGCTATACTGTGTTCAATTTGCTAACTTCTCTGTCTGCTCGATGATGTTGGAAGAGCAGCATATCATAGGTCAGGGATTTTTCAAACAGGAAATATATTTGATGAGACCAAAGAAAGTCATCTAAAACTAATAGTTAATGTTTCAGGATGTAAAACCAAAATATTGAGCTGGAAGAGGCTAAAACTGATTTTTAAATGAGGGATTTATGATGACACACAAGTGACTCATTTCATATTAAGCAACATATTAATGCATTCAAATCAAAATATTGATTACAAAAGCTTATGTTACAGTGTTTAATATAATCATTGTATGCTGGATGGATTTATAAACCCAAGGCAACTTGAAGGGATCTTATTGTTACATATTAATCACTAGAAGAACAGTCAAGAAGAAAATTGACCTGGTTGTCACTTTAAATACATATTATAGGGAAAAGCCATAAGAAAGGCAGACGTTTCCCAGTTTGTAATGCACATTTTGAATGATTTTAGTAGAAATAATATGAGCAAGCAAGACTGAAGTCTCAGCGATTGATGGGCCTACCAGGCCATGTGGATGGCATATGCAGTGCGAGTCTCTCGTCCCTCCTGTCTGCTGATGTTCTTGGCAGCTTCCACCACCTCCTGTGTGGTCTGGTAGTCCTTCAGAGACCACTCATGGACTGCTACCTCGCCGTACTGTAGAATGCCAACCTGATGCCACACACACACACACACACACACACACACACACACACACACACACACACACACAAACATTGTGTATGAAGTATTTCATTAATGCCACATGTTCATGTTGTGCTGGCAGATAGTTGAGGAAAGAAATATCTCTTCTCAGACTCTCGTTTCTAGGGGGAACTATCATTTTAAGTACCAGTCCTGTTCTTAAAGCAAACAGTGCACTCTGGGAAGTTTGAATTCATTCAGAAACCATAAGTATTTCCTTTTCACCTCACATTGCCTGTTACCCTTACCCCCCACCCTCCCTTTTGAAAACCCAAACCTTCTCTCACTCCTCTCGTTGTTTCACTCAGAATGTCCCCATATCCACACATTTCTCCCACTTCCATTCCTCCACAAGCTAGCTCGGCTCATGTCCCTTTACTTTACCGAAGCAATTTATTGTGGTCATATCTGCCAAACTGGCTCTTTATACATGTCACTCTACGCATGTTTTCACTCAGGGGGCCAAGCTTGTCTTACTGATCTGGGCAACAGCTAAGGAGTTCCAGAGGTTTGATTTGGAGACTTGCAAAAAAATTCAAACCCGCAAGTTTCCATTACCAATGTAAATAATATTTAAGGTAATGCAAATACACAACAACCTCTGTATTTCTTTTTACCTGCATCTGGTCTGGGCTGATGTGAAACTTGCTGAGGATGTTGCTGAGGAAGTTCTGGACCTCATACCAGGGGTAGATACTGTTTGAGCCATCCAGCACGATCACAATGTCCATGTATGTGGAGCACCCTGTCGCATGTGGGAGTTTAAACACATTGGGTTAGCTAAAACAGGCCTGTGCAGTTCTCTGCCTCAGTGTGGTTGTGAAAATGTGTGGTTACTTTGGGCTGTAGGAGCGAACGTCTCTCTTGGTTCTAGGTCATCGCTGACAGAGGCACAGATGCCGGTGCTGAACATTGATGTACCGCACTCCTGAGACCACAGAGGGGCACATGCCTGTGGAAAACACACACAAACACACACATCAACATCTGTTACATACAAATAAAGTTACTTACTTACTTACTTACATCAACATCTGTCTTAAAGGTGAAGCAAATTCAGGAGCAGCTACAGTCAATTTTCAGTGGTTTATGTTTTTAAATGTGTTTGTGCTTCAATTACAGTCATGTAGGTATTTTGGCCTTTATCAAAGGTTTTTAACACATAGACAAATGTGCATAAGTGACCCCTAAATAAACAGAAAACTAGAGTAAATGAGAGCAGACGTGGAACGCAAAGAGAACAAGTCAAGAGAGGGAGTAACTCATGGAAAAACTACAATAGTGTGGTTTGGGGGGATAGAAAAATAAGGGAAAGGCGGAGAGAGAGAAGGAGACTATTGTTGACATGTTGGCAGTCCCTGTTGTCATGAGCGGTTTCAAGGCGCTGGAGCAGCAGACCAGAGACGCAATTTAAATGTGCTTGTGTTAAATGTAGGGGGAGGGTGTGGGGTGTCAGGGCATCATATAAAAAATATTTCTGTCTTCAAAGCACGTTGTTTATTTGGCTTTATATCAAAAAGGGAGCAATGGGGGGGGGAAATAAAAGAGAAACAGAAAGCAAAAAGCAGAGAAACAAAAAAGAGGGAGCAAAAGTGGGGTGAACTAGTGGAAGAAAGAGAGAAAGAGAAATATCCTGGTTTTCTTGCCCTGTCATTATGGATGGTTTGTCCTCAAACACAGAGACAGTCAGAACGAGAAGACATGGAGAGAGGATGGAGAGAAAGGAATGAGTGAGAAGAGGGAGAAAAAAAAGCATGAGAGGTGCTATGGCTTTTGGTAGGTCTGTCATTAACAAAGGGCCGGAGACGCATTCCGATCCTGTTTTAGACCTTACCACTAGGGTAAGGATAAACACACAAGGGTGCACACAAGTACACACCACACACACACACACACACACACACACACACACACAATAAAATAGGCTAAGATGGATGGAGTTCGCGAAACTATACACAACTCCACACTCGAATCAGCAGTTAAAAAAAAACCTGGTGCACACCAAAAACACACAAGAGCACTTGCTTAATACATACACATAAATACATTATGTTCTAAAGCTCCATAGACACAGTAGCTAACACACAAACACACACATCGGCAGGCTGGCACAGGTAGACATTTGTTGCTCTGCATGCTAGAAGTCCAAAACCAGAGAATAAGGACAGAAGGGTAACAGCAGCATGTGTCCATCAGAGTTAAAACTGAGATTTAACATACTCAAAGGTTGACTCTAAATGTCATGTCCAGCTCAGGGTCTTAGGTTGTTTTTATTTCTATCTTGTTTTATTTTCTGTTTTGGGTCACTAATTTCTCCTCTCGTTTCAGATCCGTCACATCCCGCCCTCATGTGTTTCCCACCTGTGTGATTGTCTGCCCCGCCCTGATTGTACCCAGCTACATCTCGTTGTCTTCCCCCTCACCCTACTATTTAGTCTGTAGCTTCCCTTCCTTCTGTGCCAGTTCATCTTCGACCCCTGTGAGAAGCGTTCAAGCCTTTTGTTTCCCCTTTGATCACTTTTTTGGATTGTATCTTCTTCAAGAGTAAAGACTGTTTTTTTCCCCCATCGAAGACTGCGTCGTGAGTCGTGCTTTTGGGTCCACTTACCTGTGGTGTTGTTACACTAAAGGTTTGACCTCACTATGTAAACAGTACCTCTTGCACGCTTGCAAAAATTGAAATAAAAACAAAATAAAACAACAATTTAAGTGTACTTTAGTGGTAATAAATAGAAAAACGACTACACTTGAAGGTAAACCGTGAGGTGAGAAACATGCGAGTCGGCATAAATAGTAAACACTGAACACATTGTTTACAGAGAACTTTAGTTGTGTTTTGAAAGAGCAAACAGTTCTCACACATTACGAGCAAATACAAATAATGCCATTAAGCAAAGTTTGTAATGTTGTATATCTAATTCTTTAAGACTTGAATCTTGACGTATAATTTGCTTCTGTATACTTAACAGACTTGAGATTTTGACTTGGTCAGGTCTTATAATTGTATCAACTGTACCAAATAATCCATGAGAAAATAAATAATAAGGATTTAGATTCTGTAAGCAAGTTATTAGTCACTGAGTTTAACATTGTTTCTCAGCACATGAATCTCCTAAAAGGTATTCAGTAAGTGCGGGATAAACCACACATGGTCACATCTCAATTCAAATAAAAACACACCAACAGAGCTGAATCATTCAAACTCTGTCCAGCAAACACAACCTGGTCTCACCACATCCCCTCAGGCTCCCTCACATGAAATCCCCACGATGTAGCAAAATAAAACAGAAAGTCTTGTTTGTCAGTGTCGAAACCACATACCAGGAATCCGTCAGGTGAGTCCGGAGTGAGCGTCATCCCCAGGTGAGAATTCCTCAGGTTTTTTGAAACGTTCTGGAGAGCAGTCTCACCTGAGTTTGATAAACAGAACAGTTTGCTTTACATAAACACATTTTTTTAAGGAGTGATCTTTATTTTTTGGGGGGGGAATATTTGTTTCTCTCACCTAAATTGACTTTACTGCAGCTCGAGTTCTTCTCCTCTCCCACAATACATTTGTACACATCTCCCTTCCTGTTGTTGGGTGGCCCATCCCATGGAGCACCAACCAGCATCCTTCAACAGAACGACACAGTCAAAGTCCTTGTTAATCCTTTCAGTGGAAGATGTTTAATAACTGTCGCTCTTTCTTTGTCTTTTAACACACACTTACGATTTCTCGCCGTCAGATTCATGCTGTAAAACGGAGAAACCGAACAGTGCGTCCTCGGGACCTGTGAAGATGCGTGGATTCTTCACATCTATGTTGAAACACTGACACAACTCTGAAATACACAACAGAGAAGATGATTACAATTAAAACACAATTTTCACATGAACTTTTTTCACTTGCATTCCCTAAACCCCTTGACCCCCGGTCATGGCATACTCATACTGAACACCCAACTCTGTTACACAAAACTTTGTCTGAGTAAGGTTTGAGGAAAAGTTTAAAACTGTCATTAAGATATCTAATACATTTATTTGGCTCAAATATTTCACTTAATATCAATACATTTTAGTTAAAGAGTTGCAGCAAGCTATTACTAATACAGAATAAACTGTAAATGTGGTAATGTCAATCAGTGTGTAATAGGATGACTTTTCCGACCTCAAAGCAACTTAAAAAAATGCGGGTAACTGTATGTTTAAGGAAGATTTTAAACAGTATGCTACTTGTGCATATTTGCTTTCTTTGATACTTTATTGCTACTTTTAGTATATTCTGCCAAGCTGTTTGTTTAATAATGCTAAAACCAGAAAACAGATTGTAAACAGGAGGACATGTTTATCCTGGTTTTGTCAAAAGATGCTGGAATATGAGGGTTTGATATTTGCTAGCTGGATCTTTCAGGACTTTGAGTGCTCCCCACCTTATTAGCGCCATTATAATTATAAACATTGTTTAGAATTAATCTAAGGTAAGGAAATAGCAACCCCAGCCTGGGGCTGTGGCTCAGTGGTAGAGTCAGTCGACTCTCAATCGTAGGTGGCATATGAATGTGTATTTGGGAGGGTTGGTTAATACCAACAGACAGTTTACATAGCGGCCTCTGCTATCAGTTTGTGAATAGGTAGGTGTGACCTGCAGTGTAAAAGTGCTTTGAGTAGTCAGACGACTAGAAAAGTGCTATACAAGCTCAAGTCCATTTATCATTTTATTATTCACTGCTGTAATGAGAATGAGAGGGCCAGTGAATGGCGTCAATACCTTCGTCAACCAGAAACTGGACACACTCTAACGGCATGATTCTGAGCATTGTCCTGCACCAAGGGAAACCCAGGACCCACTGCTCCAGTGTTAGGTCTAACAATTCCTCTGAGGACTTTATCCCTGTACCTAACAGTAGTCGGGGGGCCATTGGCTATGGAGGTCTACGCGACCCTCCAAGGATATGCCTCCCCAGACCATTACTGACCCATTACCAAACATGTCATGCTGGATGATGTTACAGGCAGCATAACGTTTACCATGGCGTCTCCAGACTCTTTCAGGCCTGCTCAGTGTGAACCTTCTCTTATCTGTGAAGAGAGCATGGAGCCAATGGTGGACCTGTCAATTCTGGTGTTCTCTGGTGAATGCCATTTGAGCAGCACAATGCTGGGCTGTGAGCACAGGTCCCACTAGAGGATCATGACACCCTCATGGAGTCTGTTTCTGACAGATTGGTCAAAAACATGCGCACCAGTAACCTGCAGGAGGTCATTTTATGGTGCTCTGTCAGTGTTTCTCCTGTTCCTCCTCGCACAGATGAGCAGATACCGCTCCAGCACTCCTCGTCTAACTGGCTGTCTAATGGTATCTCCTCCATACTCTTGAGATCGCTGCAAGACACATCAAACCTTCTTGCAACCCCATGCATGGATGTGCCACCCTGGAGGACCTGGACTATCTTTGCAATCTGATTGGGCTGCAGGTTCAGCCTCATGCTACCAGTTGTGACATGAGCACAAACGGAACACAAAACTAGAGAAGAATCAGCCAGGAAGGATGAAGAGAGAGCAATTGTATGTGACCACCACATGCAAAATAATTTCCTTTTTTTTTTGGGGGGGGGGGGGGGGGGGTTGTCTTGCTTTTGCCTCTCCATTGCACCTGCTATCACATTCATTTGCACCAAAATTGGTGAAATTGATTGACAAACCCTTGTGCCTCCTTAACAGATGGATGGATATCCCTGAGGTTTAACTGACTGAAGTTTAACTGTGAAGATTTAGTGTTGTAAAAATTTACTTGACTTCTAACCTTTAAAGTAACACAGTGTGCTCACCAGTACTTCAAGTAATTCATAAATCAACATTAGCTGAACTACCTTTAGTAACTCCATATTTATAATGAAGATATGAGAGAATTACATTCAAACATGGAGCAGAAAACCATGTACACAACTGTAAATCTAGAGTGCAGAGTCAGATTATTATTTTCCCTCTTGGCCTTAGGAGAGGGGAATTGGGGGAGGGTTAAATTGTGTGTGTGTGTGTGTGTGTGTGTGTGGGGGGGGATGCTGGAAAAAAAATGGATAAATAGATTGACCAGTGGCCACCTCCGGAAAAAAAGGAGTTCAGTCTGAGGGGAAAGCGGGAAAGGAGAGGGAAAAGAAGAGGCAAGGCAGGGAAGGGTGTGGGTTAGAAAAACTATGTAGTATAGTAAGCCCCCTGTTATGACACACAAGCCTGCCCTTCATACACACAGAGAAGAAATAAGGCAACAAGATGGTAGTCAGACAGTTCAATGAGCTGTTAGAATTAAGGTGTAAACAGAAGCATGAAAACATATTCCAACTGGCAAAATGTAAGTGAAACTGTTTGTCTTACAGTCTGAAGGGGACAGTCTAAACATATTTCTGCATGTGTTAATAATACACACCTTTAGATAAACCATTTAAATGACTAGGATATAAACTGAATGCAATATTTAAAAAAGATTTTACCAATGACCATTCAAAATACAACACATATAGGATTTACAAAACCTTGGAAACACTTCCAGGTTTTCACCCAGGCAAATTCAATTATTTTAAATTTGGTACACTGAAGAATCTTAAGTTTGTTGAAAACACCAAATGAGCGGCTAAACTCTTCTTAAGTTTTCCTGTCAGGCTGCCTGATGTTATCTTAGGTTAAGTATATAAAGGCTGACATACAAATAAACAATATTTTCTTTTCATTATTTTTTTTTAACTGAAAATATATTCACTTTTAATGGGCCATAGGACTAAGAGTCTACTGCCTTGCTCGTAGCTCTTGCTTTGACCTGAATGCTAAGTTAGCTTACATTCTCAGACAGACAAAACCAACATGCTGATGTTTTGGGTTTTTAAGAAGTTGTAACCGGCGTAACAGCCTGTGTAATACCTCAGTCTTTACTTCTTAGGAAGATAATATCTTCTTACTAGCAAATATACTTAAGTATATTAGTGGCTATTGTGAATTTCAAAGCCAGTATTGGATATCTACAAAATTTGACCTGATGATGGTGCCAAATGGAAAGTCAGGGAATTACCCAAATATCTTGAGTTTATCCTGTGGATTTAGTCTCTGGTGAATTTCTAGGCATTGCATCCAAAGGTTGTTCAAATGTTTGATGGCTGCTACTGTAGTTATGAGAAGTTTTTATAAGAAACCCTTTTTCCCCAAACAGCTTCTCAACCAATGACGCATCAATGACAGCATGCTAGATATCACAAGCTCTAACAGTTTTTCTACTCTTACAGGTAATAAATAAAACAGCTCTGGTCAGCTATCACTGCAAATACAATACAATGCGTGAGAAACAGCCCAGTTAACTACCTCATTAATGATTTTGCCTAAAATGCATAATTTTAACACTTTTATCACTTAGCACATGTTAATCAATTAAATGCTTTGCCTACAGAAAAACAACAACAAGATGACACCAGACAAAATGCCAAACTCAAGGCTTCAAACTGCAGTTCATAAATAAAGGTTGTCATAAAGGCTGAGTTGATTTCTTAAAAACAGTCTATGGCTTCAGTCCAAGTGCTGATGTTGTCAGAGCACAACAGGAAATAAACTCTCCTTGGTATCGTGTTAGGATTCACAATTCCAGTCAAATTAAAGAGTATCATGATGTTGTATTTTCAGTTCAGTTTCATAACAAGAATGCCACTCTTGACAGTTGGTATTTAACATGCCCCTCTTGTGTATCGACTGTATGTCATTTGAATCCCTGAACGCAGGGTGTGTTGAATGTGTTCTGTAAAAATAGATTTGACTTGACATGTAATTAAGCAGTATCCAGAGACATATACAGCAACTTTACTGTACTGTACTGCTGAAATTACAAGAAAAGTAGTCCGAGACGTGGAACAAGACCAGAACACTGGTGCTGTGATTACGCACCAACTACTCCTGCACTTGTAGAGAGATACTTTCCAACAAATACACACTGATACACACTGACTTTGGCCAGGCCAATCAGAGGGGGATTCCACTTGGTTTTGAGAGAGAAACTAGATCTGTCCACTGTTTCTCTTCCATCTCTGCTTCTGCCTTTCTCACATACTGTAGTTTTTTTCCATTTTCTCTTGACAACAGATGTTTTCATTCTGTAATATAATTGCATTCTTAGACAAGTTTCTTATTTTTTTCTTGTGCCCAGATTTACACACTGGACATCTGTAGCTACAATGTTGTTGTTGGTTGTAATAGCATAATGCCACTTTCATTTGTTTGACCATTTTGGTATCTCGAAAAACAAATTGCATGCTTTGCCAGAAAAACTTGTACTGACTTCAATGCTCCAAAAAAGATCTCTCTTGGTGATTTTGGTGGTCATCTGACTTTTGCTGAACAGCCAAAAACCAACCAAAGTCTGTAGTTATCGACTCAATGTTATGGCAATAGATTTATGTTCCCCAGGGTCAGGGGGTGAATTAAATTAACTTTCAATACCTCTTTACTTTTTGTCATCATGAGTTTCACTTTTGTGGATTCAAGAATTCTCAACAATTGGGAAATGCAATGAATTTAGTTCCACTTTAGAAGAGCTGTAATAACTTGAGCAATCTCTTTCATTTTTGTAAAACACAAGTCATGTGCAAAGAGTTTGTCCAACAAAATTGCAAAATTGGTGGACATTAGCATACGTTAGCATGCAGAAATCCAAACAAACTGTAATCATTATACCTTCTTATAGCATTAGCATAGTAGCATTGTCATTGTGCATGCCGGCATTAGCACTTAACTCAACTGCTGTGTCTAGGTAAAGCTGCACAATGTTCAGCTGCAGACTCTAAAGCATGTTTCTGCTCATCCTGCAGATCTATGCAAGCTTCCAATATTCAAATGTTCAAGCCACCAGGGGATTTTCATGGGATTTGGCCATGTGATCCCACACAGATGTTTTATATACTTCCCGAATGGGAATATGCGTAGGCAAGGATAATGTAATTCCTTCGTGTAAAACCTTCGATTTCATCATTTTTTTTATTTCAGAATAAACCAAAACCTTTCAATCTAGCCTTGTTGCAACAAGTTACTCTCTTATTCTGTCCGAGCCCTCTTATGCACAGCGTAGTTAACGTGTGTCTTTTCTTGTGGAAACATCTACCAGCCAATTCCAAATGTCTTTCTACAACAAACCAGGCCTCTGATAACAAGCCTTGCTGCTTATTTCATTGATGTCATTCTCCTATTTCACTCATTCTCTCATAAACCATAAATTGCTCCTTTCTTTTACCCCCTCTCCTATAACATACACATATAAACACACTGTTACTCTACCACAAGACCCCCTCTCCTTGCCCAACCCCTCAAACTCCCACCAAACTGTACCATCATTCCCTGTTTTCCCTGGCCTGTCCTCCCTCCTCTGGTTCCATTTTCATTTGGGGTTTATATACGACACCGTACCACAGCCTGTCTGACCACCCATTGCCATGACAACTAGCGGCAAACATTTATCAAGCCAAACTGGGTCCAGATTCCCTCAACCACACGGTCAGCTATAGGCGTTAGGCTGCTGGATGTGTATAGTTGTGATTGTTTAGAAACTGAACTTGACACTATGTTTTGATACTATAGAAACATGCCAGTGCTTACAGGAGTATGCATTAATGTATGCTGTTTGATTAGACTAACATATTTGAGTTTCACTTTTCTTCTGTTCCTGTCTCTTTAATTTACGTCCCTCACTTGTAGCACCTCTGCGAACTGCACTAAGACCTATCTGCTGGACTGTCTGTTTCTATCATCTTCATTTAACCGACTCGTGTTTCCCAAACATCTCCCCCCCTCCATCTCCTCTCACCCACTTTCACAGCTTTTCTATCCATTATCTTCATCATGCTCTGTTCTCATCTCTGTCACCCTCTCATGGGAAATGGGGGTGGAAGACGAGGGGGAGTCGGAATGAAAGTGAGTGAATGATGGGAGAGTAAAATAACAGAAAAAAGATAGCAGGGAGAATAATGGCTTGAATTTATGAATGACCAGTGGAACTGAGTCAAACATACACTCACAGACACACCTGTATTCGACATCTCAGTAAAGCACAACAGAGTGTAGCAGACAGGGTGCCTGCTGGCCGCATTAAGAGAACTCTGCTGAAGCCATTAACATTACACACATACTCGCTCAACTACATGCTTATGTACTGTATGACACATGAACAAGGCAGCACACACACATGCAAGAACTCTTAAACGTAAGCTAGAGTACAAATGAAATAAAAGGTTATGCAGTGGAGAAATAACACTGTAAATGCTCAATTTAAACAGAAAATGAAAGGCAATATATAAACCCTAACCACAGGCATAATTTGGCTAGTGGCATGTGTAAATATGTCTGCATGTGTGTATAAATGTGTGGTAAGAGTGACTTAATGTCCAGCTTCTAGATTAGAAGCATTTTACATGGAAACTGGCAGCACAGATAATCATTTTGCAGTCAACATGTTAAAAGGTGGCACAAATACCAGGATGATAATCTAAACATTAACTTCAGAGAGCAGGTACAACCTTTACATGCCTTGCACAACATAATACCTCAACCTCTGGGTATCATTATGCGTCACAGCTGTATATGTGCTATATTGTAGCAGTTATACTACTGCTGCTTATCAGTTGTGTAAACACTTAATCTTGGCAGACAACAATGGTCTTATTCTTTGGTTTCTTTGAGGTGGGCATGAACGGCTCAATGAGAAGAGTGAGGCTGCACTGCAACAGTGAACATGGGGGTAAGGAGGTTGGCTGATGTTCATGCTCCAGAGAATAAACGCACATGGCATAGACGCCTTATTAGGGGAACTGTAGACATGTAGTCCAAGCGATGAAAGTGGCTGATATGGCCGGTGAGGTCGGGTTACATTGCTTCCAGGGTCAGAAGGAGTCAGCTGTAAGAGGAGATGAACCAGTAACCTTTTGGCAGAGGATACATCAGCAAATATCTCTGATTGCTCCAGGCATCTTCTGGCAGAGCTGAAGGCCTCCAACAAAAATGAAAAATGTCCTCGGTTCTCACAAAACGGATAGATTTACTGGATTATCCCACTTTGAAGGAGGGACCATTACTTTGTTGGACTCGTGCACAACTTCCTATACCTTTGATCTGTTTGGCAAATGGAGTGTGGCCATATGTTTTAATGCGTTTGCTTCTCGGCTCTCCTGCACACAACCACGTTAGGAATGTTTTCATGGTCAGTCAGTTACCGTCACAAAGAACAAAGATCTCTGGGCCTCAGGGAGGAGACAGCATGACACATTTATTCACATGTGTTGTCTGTTAGAGTGCAAAAGTAGGGGAGGTTAAAGACCATGTCATTGAGTTAGACAGTTCTGGAGGACAGGGGAGCAACTGGGCAGTGAAAAGGCATCAATCATGGACACAAGGTTGACATAATATAGTTCCTCAAAGTTAAAAAATGCACTTAAAGGGCAGTGGTGGAATCATTTCCTCTCTAATTAAGCTAAATGTCAATACCCTATCTTGTTTTAAGTGGGGGAAAAAAACAACATTCAAAGTTTAATACCTAAAACAAACTGAAAATGTTCTTACCTTTAAGAAGGAAGATGAACTGCAGGCACAACAGGTATTTACACAGCTCCATTTTGGAAATCCCAAGTCTATTTTCCCAATTTTCTCTTTTTTTTTTTGTTTACCAAGTGGTCTCCCCTAGTTTGTCGAAAATGCAGTGAATCGGCGTCCCACCACACAAACACAAACATGCAAAAACCCAGCTCTCTTCAGCTCCTTTTCTCCTCAAGAGGTGCGTCAAACCCGGGCAAAAGGTGCTCCAGGGGCATGTCTGCTGAGCGTGGGGGGCTCAGGTTAGGTCATTGACAAAAGCAGTCAGGAGCTAGCTTTAGAATAAAACAACCTCTTCCTTTTTGCGCGTCTTAAACTCCCTGCAGAAGATATTTGGACGCCACCACAGTTCAAATGTAGATATTTTCGCATGAAAAGGTCTTTCGGATACAGAAGAAAACGGAAACAAATTGACCCCTCAGCGGCCCATGTTTTGGCCGTGAAAAGCCTGCACCTGTCCCATCGAACAAGAGGCCGCAGTTCAGAGTCATTAAACCATTACTAATGTGCAACACCTTCCCAAACAGTCAGTCGGCGCTGCGCTTTATCCCTGCTGACTCCGGAGCGCGTTTTCTGAAGATCAAGCTCCTCCGCTTATCAAGCAAAAACTTTGCTCTGCTTGTTATCCACGTCCTCGCCACTAATTCACTAAACACTAAAAAACTGTAGTTTCCAGTGACCTTCTGTTCATGTAAATATGAGCCCTCCAGTAACGGGTTTCTCTCACTTTTGAAATGAAAGAGCGCATTTATCCTCAGAGCTCCCCTCCTTCCACCAGTCCTCCTCCATCCACTATAGACTCCTCTCTGAGCAACTGCTTCACACTGGCAAACCTCAAACCCACATCTCTCTCCCTCTCACTTTTTCAAACATGTCTCAAGATTTTCACTCTCAACATCTTTTAGTTTGCTCTCATCTAGTCTAATTTAATTCTTTTAGCTGCTCTTCATAGATCCAAAAACAAGCTGTCTTGTTTAACAATTTTAAACACATAAAGCACAACTAATACTTAATGAAAATCATTTAGATCAGTGATAATACATTAAAGATATCTGGAAATCCTGTGTTCCCATATTTTCTAATTTACGCAGTCTGAACTTAATGATTCGTTAAAAAAACGAATCATAAATAATCTGTTATCTGATGCTCCTTTTATTAGAACAGTCCATGAGGAGTGTCCCTGGTTGTTCTGGCAGCCATAGCAAAGCAAGTCTTGTGCAAAAATTGGCATCTGTAAACTGTTTTATTAAAATCTAATCTAAGTCTATATACTGCATCCAACAGTGACACAATTAATAGAAGCTTCTAAAGATGCTATATGTGAGAGAAAGCAGTAGCATTGGTGTTAAAATAAAATAATTACATTCTAAAAATTTGAAAATAGCTGCTGGATCAATCAGTACCTTTATAAGATCCACCTGCTGTTTCTGGATATAAAAAGTGAAACTGTTAGCCATTGGAATCTGATGAGCATGTTACTATGAGAGAAATATGCATGATGGACTGATTTTTAAGTAAAATTTCAAAAAAAAGAAAAAAAAAGAGGATTCTCTTAGAGCACATATTAAAATTAAGTTTAAATTTCAAAGGTGTTTTTTGTGTTTAAAAACTAAAAATCTAATGTTTTCATTAAAGTGTAGGCCTTCTTATCCATCCTTATAAATAGGCTAAATAAAAACATTTGGAAAAAATGTTCCTTAAGATGTATATTTTTGCAGTAGTGATTGTCTTTATTCTTCAACAAAACACTTGGTGATGGGTGTTTCTTTCAAAAGGTGACAATGTCCCCATCTACAGGACACAAAGGGTCATAAGCGCAGTTTTAACTTTTTGGTAAGGCATACAACAAATGTTCATGTGTGACCCCCAACAGAAGGACTGTGTTCTTTTAAAAATGTTGACAATATTTAAATCCGTATGCATATAATGGCTATCGAGGTGAATGCAAGACTTATCTATAAGAACATACAGTGCTGTGGATTCGTTCAATTAAGTATAATAATAATAATCTGTTAAAAGTGGCTGTATAAATGATGTTACAAATGGTAATGAATTGTAAATCAAACACTGGCCCATTTGTCCTGAGTATTTCATAAAGCTCTTTGGCGCCACCCTCAGTTCTCTGCCTTCACTCTTATATTGTTAAAAGTGGCACAAGCTTTCTACATCATCAAAGGTGGAAAGTGGGCCTAACTTACTGTACCTAATTTACTCAAATGAACATGTCGAGCAATTTAGTGTCAAGCCAAAAGAATGTTGCAGTGCCTGTTTGACAAACCTCATAAGCTGTAGTCTTTACCTTTATTTATACCAACATCATCTTGTTCGTGTCCGAACAAACAAAGGGTAAAACGTCGGACAATGTTCACTTACATTTCTCAGGTGTCCTGGAAGAAGACGTTGATCCAGTTAACGTGTTTCAGCTGAATGTGTAAGTACACTACTGTTTCTTGGTAGCAACTTTTAAAGCTTACGTCAAATAACTAATTCATTGAACGACCATCTTCTGACCCCTACTGACTAAAACCATACAGAGCATCATGTGTGAGGTGAAAGCATATGAAAGTAGTGACAAACTGTGTAGTCGGTTCGCTCTCTCAGATTATAAAAATAGATTTAGACGTATTTATCTGATGTGTGCCTAATTTCCAGCAGACCAACTCGTCTATTTGAATTCATTGAGTTCATTGAGAATCCTCACGTTCATTTAATAGCTTTTTTTTTTTACTTTTACTTGGGCAAGCCTTCTTTTCATTGGAAGTAGCCTACTACATTTTTCATGTCGTCTGTTACTGAGTAAAAAAAAAAAAAACCGTCTAACACCTGACTCAGGTGGAGAACAATATGTCATTACAGACATCAGGCTCTTGAGAGAATAGAGCACAAAAGACAGGGACAATAACAACAAAAAATAATAACTAGAAGATAAAACCTGGAAAATGGAAATAAATTAATAAAAGCAAGGGGCTAAGTGCAATCTTCTGATAATTCAAAGTTGTCAATGTGAAGTATCTATTTGGCAATTTACTTTTCAGTTTCCTTAAGGACTTTGTAATAGAGTGCTAGTTCTCTCAATATTGGTTGTCCTGCTAACTCCCTGGGGTAAAAAGTAAGTTATCAGTGCTTAAAGTCGATTTCAAATGAAGTAATTTTTTTGTTCTATTTGAGTAGATTTCATTTACTTGAGTAAAATTGTATCAAAGTAATTGTACTTATGCTTAAGTAGAATATTTTAGTTAGCTTTGTCTCAATATACAGAATGTCATCTTACACTATGCATTGTCAGATGTGAAACATATTTGTAATTTTTCAGCAATACAAGGAGTCCTTCCAGTAGATAACACTCGTGCTTCCTTCCACTCTGTCCACATTTCTGATTCAGCAATTCACTTCTGTCTGTAAGTGTTTAAAATGCACTCAACATTGGATTCAGAATATTTATTTGCTGAATTCTGATTCTTTTTACATAATATTTTAATATTAGAATTGCAGAAGATAAATAGTACTATTATAATTGTATCTATTGTTTTTTTTTGTTCTTGTCTGCACTTATGTTTTTTGTATTTCTTCCACTGGTTTGTCATAATCTTTAATCTTATAATAATCTTTCATAGTCTTTCATGTACTGAACTGGTGATGTATTTGTGTCAGCTGAAGTCAAGATTTATCTTTATATTCTTTTCTTTTTTAAAACGTTAGCTTGAGGCTCAGCTTGAGAGCTTGTTGGTGTTGTGTTTAAATTATAAAAATGCTAGTATTTAAGAGCAGCTGTCATCAAATGTGATGCTATTTACAGCTACTTTAACAATATCACATGTCACCACTAGGTGCCGCTCTGCCTCAGCTTATGCTTTTTTCCAAGTCTGTCTGAACTACCTAATGGAGAACCTGAAGACAAAAACAGCTGTTTAAAATCTTTAACTTTTAGGTTTGATTGCAAAGCTCATCCTAGGCCAGTCTGTCTACTTATTGTCAGTTGTATGATTTGTGATGATCAGCTGATGACATGTTATGTATAATTCCAGTCTGAACACATTTTTCTTTTTAAAGGTTTCTGATTTTTTTTCTCTTTTGCAAATTAGCTTTCTCTATTATGAGACGAATCATGCAGCGGTGGGTTTCTGCCAGGACTTGAATGGACAGTGAGTTCATTGGGTTGGAGAGTAGATCTGTAAGTGGCCAACAAATCTTGAAATGAGATTAACTTCATTAGCTTTTTATTTATATCCATGAGGGCAAAAGGTAATGATTGTTAGAGAATTCACCTCTGTCTCTCCATTAGTGCTCGTACAGTTACTGCCTTAATGACATTGGACTCAATCAGTGTCCTTGCATTTATTGCCATTCACTTCTTTGCACTTATCTTTTTCCGCTTTATGCTTTCCTCTTTTGGAAAGGTTCTCATGATATAACTGATCAGAGGAAAAATATCCACACCATGAAACACATTGACTTTTTTACATTTGCATTGACCCACATTTTTGGCCTCTTTTGACAGGTCGCTACTATAACTGGACTGGCACCACCGTCATGTTGTCTGGCGAATGCATGTTTAGTCAGATGCGCTAACCCATCATGTAACCAAATCTCACTGTACACAACTGCAGATTACTGCAGAGGTGGAGCTGGAACCAAAGCCAAGACCCACACACATACACACACATACAGACTGTTTCACACCAGCTGGAGCTATGCAAGAGCCCATTAACGTCGGACATTAAATCGAACTTTGCAAAGTCACGCTGCTATAACAACACAACTTGAATTGGTGCAGAGTAGTTTTCTTTTATAACCTTCCCAAACCCCTGCTGTACAGTGGTATGAATATAAAATCTGTGTTATTTTACAGTCTGTGAAAGAGAAGACTCATTAGACTTCAGGGTTTTAGAGCACAGTATTTACATAATGCCTCTTTCTTGTTAACTCCTTATTGTGCATACATAACGATGCAAGCATGAACTTTAGAATTGAAATACACTATCATCAAATATACAGAACTAGGTGTGAACTTTATTCGAGTCA